ATATATATATTAGTACCCGATATGTGTATGATATGTGTATTATTTGTGTATGATTTTCTACATTTTAAGTACCCAATATGTGTAAGATATGTGTAGGATAAATCATTTTTTTACCAGTGTAAGCTATTTTTAACTTTAAATGGTAATTTTACAGATATTCGTTACCTTTAAAAATATCTTTTGATAATAGTAATTATCAATATAATCTTACTGTAAGAGATTCTTTTGATGATTAGTTATTACATCAGGAAATTTGTTTAGGCGTAATTTAGTATAATATTTTGGAGGTGGTGTAAAATTTTGAAATATTACACTAAAAATGTAATATTACAAAAGTTTACGCTCTTAAATTTGAATAATTATAGTAATTTAAGAATATCTCGCTATTTACTGATCCAATCAAAACGATCTATAACTCATTGGAATCAGCTCATCAAGACAAATCGAATGGTGGTAAATTTGCATTTCTACAGTTGATAGAATGCTCTATAGTATACAATAAAGTTTTAAATTAATAGAAAGCCATCTATCAAATGTAAAACTGCGATTTTAACACCATTCGATTTGTCTTGATGAGCTGATTCCAATGAGCTATAGATCATCTTGATTGGATTAGTAGATAGTGAGATATTCTTAAATTACTATAATTATCTAAATTTAAGAACGTAAACTTTTGTAATATTATGTTTTTAGTGTAATATTTCAAAATTTTACACCACCTCTGAAGTATTATACTAAATTACGCCTAAACAAATTTTCTGATGAAGTTCATTTAAAAATAGTTCACAATTAGATAATTGGCAAATTTTAAATGATTCTTAAGACCAGAAATAAGTTATAAATCAGTAAACCTAATTTTGGTTGATTTTCATTTAGTTTTTAATGCAAGCCAGAATTTTACTAAAACTTTACCAAAATTTGGCCAGTATAACTTATTTTATTTTAACTAGTATGTGAATAGGACCCTGTTTACTTATAAGATAGGTCACCCTTAGGCTTAAAGTAAAAATCATATATAAAATTCTTTGCAAATTCTACTATAAAAGGAAATTTTATATTATATTATTATGATTTTTTTTTCTTTTTAGTTAATTAACCAATAAAATTTAAGAAAAAAATAAGGTAAAAACTATTAGTAAAGAGCCTATTTTCTATGATGACCTTTATTATAAGTAAGCAGAATCCTGTGTAAACATATAATTTATATTTATACATTAATGTACTGTATATTAAAAAATTATTATTAAAAAAATAGAAAAAATTACCAATTTTCAAAAAATTTATGTCAAATAAAATTATAATAATTATAATTCTGATTAATATTACAAATTATTTAATCTAAATTATTTAAAAATTTAATATATTATATAATGAATTTACTATATTATTAAAATATAGAATATGATATAATAATTTTATATAAATCATTTGTAGTTCTTTTAATTTTTTTAATTTTTTGCTAAAATTATGTTATATTATTCAAATAATTATAAAATAATAAAGACTTTAAAATACAATAATTTTATCAATATTAAACTACAAATATAAAATACAGTTAAACCTTTATATAGTGATATATTAGGACATATATGAAATTTTTAGGAAATTTAAGAAATATCATTATATCAAAGTAATATTAATATTTATATGTCCTAATATATAGTAAGAAAATAAAATTTTATCGGTATATCAAATTTTTAATAGTATATTGATATATAGGGGTTCCTTAATGTACAGTAAGGATGTACAATATTAACGTACGAACTGGCCGGAATTAACGTTAACGCTATCACGTGCAAGTGCATAACTCCTAAACTCAGGCCAGTTCGTACATATAATATCGTACACCCCACTATACGTTAAGGACGTCCATTATTAATTAGTCTAAAATATGAGGTTCCTTAACATACGCACCCTACCAAAGTTTAGGAGTTATGCACTTACACGTGATAGCGTTAAACTTAACTCCGGCCAGTGCGTACGTTAATATCATACACATAACACATGATGCGTAAGTTAAGGATGCTCCTATTATATATCCTTTAATTTTTTAAAATTTTACTTATAATTTCTTTAATAAACTATAATGCTAAAATTTTCTAATTAAGAAAAAAAGTATTGCTAAATATCACCACTAGTAATTGTCACCTTACCAGAATTATGGTAGAATTTTTGGCAGAACTAAAAAAGTCATGAAACTTTGCATATTTGCTAATGCTGGTGTGGTGAAAATCACCTGCAGTGTGATTTAGCAATATCCAAGAAAAAAAGCTCGTTTTTTTTATTAACTTACAATAGAAATTTTCATTAAAACATAAAAAATAATCCTTTTTAACAAAAATTTTATAACAATGCATTAAATTTATTAGCAATACTTTGATATTTAAACTACTTAAACCTATTTTTGTTAAAATATAATCTTTTTTCGGTTAAAAATATAGTGAATATATATCAATAACTGGTGAGTATATCGACTTATGAAAACATAATATACATATAGTCTAATTATTAAAAGTAATTAAAAAATTAATACTTGTTATTCCATGGTTATCAATGAATAATTGAAATATTCACCGATGCCTTGGGGCCCCCGAAGGGAGGGGAGCATCGGTGTATATGGAGTATTTATTAGATACCCATGGAATAACAGGTTTATCTCATTGTGTATGGCGTATACACCGATGGATTTTATACTTTTTTATACTTTTTCTATACCGGTGGAATAATTTACAAAAAAATCCATCGGTGTATACATAGTACCGATGGGATAAAAAAAGTTACTTAATATCAATCGTAGCTAAAAGGTAAACCAGAATTAGGGCGAAGATAAATATTATTAGCGATAACTACAAATGACAACTATCCTCTCATCACGTTATTATTTGTATAAAACACATCTTATTTATAACATTTTTATACAATAAAATTTACAGTGTTTACATAACGTTTACAAAAAAAAAAAATAATGGTATACATCCAGGTTTACATATTACGTTTGTATAAATAACCTATTTTTCATCTGTTGAGTTCCATTTTTAATAGATTCATCCAATTTTTCAGGATTATCCATCAATTCTTGAATATTATCAGGAGCGGGTACATTTCAACCTTTTGAACAGTAGGTCTTGTACCAATACGTGCAACCCAAGTTTTTAAATTTGGAAACTCATCGATACTTTCTATACCGGAAAGGAAATGAACTCTGACTCACGAGAAACTTATAGCATCCGTTAAAGTAAATTTGTTTCCTACCAAATATTCTTTACCTTCCAAAGCACCGTTCAAAACGTAGTGAAGTCTTTTGGCTTCATCGGTATATCGATTAATGGTGTATGGAACTTTTTCTAGTGCGTACCTATTAAAGTGTCCAGCTTGTCCTTCATCAATTTATTTTTATTGCGCAAAAAATAAAGAAGATATTTACCCATTGAATAACAGGATCTTTTGGCAATAATTTTTTTTCGGGATCATAATGTTCACAAAGATAGATCATAATCACACTTTCAAATACGTGACCAATCTCGCTTACGGGCCGTTTCTCGACAGGACATTTTCCCGACAGGTTGATCAGGAATAGCTGTTTATGTTCATCATCTTTAATAAAAATTACTCTTACTTTATAAGGAATTCCTAATTCTTCAAGGACGATGCTTACTTTTACCCATTAGGAGACATAGCAGTGTAAAGAGTTGATATCAGGAGTAATCATTTTTTTGTTTTAATTATCAATCTTTAATTTCCTAATCTTAATTATTCTTTCGTTGAAAAAAAAAAAAATAAAAATAAAAAATGATGAGCAATTAATTTTTCATTAGAAAGTGAGTGAAACAATTATCAATTTTTGGGACGATCTTAATTTGAATTACTTCCTCCTTACTTTTTTGAGATCTCTGTAGAAAAATTTCATTTATTGATTTAAAATGTATTTATTTTATTTATTTTCGAATTGATTCTAACGAGATTAACATAAAGAAGTTTTTGAGTTTCCTAAATTATTTCTCTTTCTCCTATTTTTGGTCATAAGGTAGTCGAAAACTTTGTACGTCATTTAACTAGTTTTGGAATATCATCTTAAAAAAAAAAGTTTGTTATGAATTATAAATCAATGACATTGTTAATACTTAGAATAGTATTGGCTACGATGCTTACATCTCGTTACTATTCAAATATTTAGAGCAGCAGCGTAAATATACTCCGTACTCTGGATTCAATTCATATTTTTGTAAAATTTAAATAAAATTTCACGTGAAAAATATAAAAACATACCGTATATCACGAGCCAAAGTACTCATACAGTGATTACAGTCCTTACTTAAAATCAATTGTATACTACATCAAAGTTTCATAACGCCGAAGCAGCAGCCTTCATACAGTCCGTACTTAAATTCAATTGTATATTACGGCATTACACTTCTGGATAATTTATTAAATAACTTCCACATGTTCTCTACTTGGTTTAAATTAACCGGCAAATTAGAAGTTGCAATTTTATTTAATTTTAGCCAATTTTTGGCTTACTGAAATATTAAGATTTTTCTCTTATTTTGAAACTTCGTTTCAGTACATATAACTGATACTGTATGACATCTTAAAACGAAAAAGTTTTCATAAAAATATAAAAATTATGGAAATAAATGAGGCATTTTAACATAAGCAATCGTAACATTACTTTTCCGGCGCGATTGTATTATGAACTAGAGATCCACAAAAATAATGAACAATTAAGATTTAAAAGTATGAATTAATAATTAAGTATGATTAAAATCGTAACCATATTTACTAAATCTTAGTAATAATAGATAATATTTAAAGAAAAGAGACATCATAGAAAATTAGATTTTGCAAATATAAAATTCGACTCGCAATATCATAAGTGCGGGACAGCTAGTCACATGTCGAGGGAACACGGTAAGATTCGGTATATCTCAGAATAAAATAAGAACTACGCCACTCTGCTCCCGATATTTTTGAGCCTTACCAAGTTCTAACGAATGCGTTAATACAGTATGTCAAGTATCCTTCGAACAACGTTGATTAGAGTATCTCGCAATTTATAAGATTTACTGTAATGTGATCGCATCATTATTTATTATTGACGTTTTATTAAAATTCTGCGCCTTCGAAATTGATTTCATCGTTGATTTCTTCTAATTAATTTCTTTTTAATTATTTAAACAGCCTTTTGACATAAAGAATAGGGATAAAAAGTTCGAGATAAAGAGGAAAGAAAATCCATATTTAAACAGGTTACACAATTACGTTGAATTTTACAAAAGATTTAAAATATATTAATCAGATCATTAAAAATAATGAATTTTTAAAAAATGATAGTTTTGAGTAAACGGAGTAAACGGGAGTATCAATCGAGAGTATCGAATGGGGGTTTTACACGCGCTTTTTTATAAATTGCTTTATAAGTATCATTAATTGCTGCGGATATTGGTTTTATGAGATATAAAAATGATGATACAATATATTAACGGAAATGATAGGGTGTGAAATGAACGGGCTGGTCGGTTGTGACCCGATAAAACGTCTCATTAAATAGTATTTTTGCATTCTTATCAGGTGTACCAACTGGGAGCCTGCCCGGCCGGAATTATCGCATTAAGCAACCACTTACACACACTGGAGAAAGATCACGTGAATAATCATAATTTTTCCACGTGACATACACGCAGTGCAGTTCCGCAAAAGGTAATCCGTCGTTATTAAATTTTTCATTAATATCATTTCTATCAGTATGAAAGCATAAAACTACCAAAATTTGCTTCGTCTAATCAGGGTGAATTCAATAATGTATAAGGGTATAAATATAGGATTACCAGATGAAAAGGTATTATATTATAATTTCAAATTTATTAATGAATTTTAGAACTCGTAAACTTATTATGACAACAAACTAACGTGTAATTTTGCGACTGACCAGACGTAACAGACGTAAGATTTTTTTAATATGCGACAGGATACGCAAAAATCAAATTAGTTATGGTTGTAATATTTATCTCCGGTAATAACTCCGAAAAATTCTCTAATTTTGGTAAAGAAAGAAATATACCAATTTAGAATTAACAATGAGAAATATTAAGAGCGATCAAAAAAAAAATGGTACTCGTGACAATAATATTATTATACGATTTACCTTGTCATTTAAAAAATGAAAATTCTAATACCATTTTTAAAATATATAATGAAAATTGTTTTTTTGTGTATGTTGCATATTAAACTAGGAAGGTTTATGTTTTTTCCCGAAAAAAAAATTCGTCGATCATTTTTGATAATTTTAACAACACATTCGATCACGTTACTTTATTTTGATTTTTGACCAGAATTATAGAATTATCATTAATTCTAGTTGATGGTCAATAAGACTACAAAATTGATCAAATATACTAAATATACTGTTTATTTAATGAATTAATGTTATATATTTTAAAGTATAAGTTTATATATAGAGTGTTAATAAATATACTGTAGGCGACTTAATAAAATAAATAGATAAATAAATAAATAAATGATTGGACAATATAAAGTACGAAATAATATAATACTATATAAATGTGTAATCTCTCAAATATTACTTTTTTCAAGACGATTTAAACCAAGTATATAAGTATGATTCTTTAAATTTAATTTTTTTTTATAGGTATATAACTTTTATAACCATATATTTCCGTAATTAAATACCTGGACACGTTATGATGATTTGACCGGAATTATGATTACTTTGACCAGCATCATAATTAAAAAAAGGGTGCTTAATTTTGGAAATATATGATATACCCTAATAAAATTTATCCTTAAATAACAAGGATAACTTTAATAATGCTTCTTAAAATCTTGAATAATATTAAATATTCCCAAATAAGATACAACCTCTTTTCTTTTTATAAAAATTGATTCAATACGTTACGACTCGACTTTATCTTTTCGTACAAAATTTATATATAATTGAAAGATTTTCTAATAAATTTCTTATTTTGTGGATAATGAATATAAACAGCGGAAAAACAAATGTAGATCATTATTCTAAAATAGAAATGATTGGCAAAGAAGTTGTTATGACCGTTTATCTTCGATAAAGATGAAATTTTAATTATTTTATAAACAAAAAAGAAAGTTTTAAATTTAAGGGTAGAGTGTATCACATGATACTTCATATAGATCGACTTGTCAAATTCCTTATTACATAGTAGCACTATTTTCTGTACAATATAAACTTTTGTAATACTTAACATAAATGGATAGAATTTATATCGTTAGAAAGCCACAACTTTGAACTTTTATTTTTTTAATTAAAAAAACTTCTTTTATAAAAAAATCTTTAAAAAACACCTAATGAAGTTGCGACTAGGCATATATGTTTTTGCGACTAGGCAATCTTGGTTGTTAGTATCAGTTGTATATTTAAAATGTAAACAAATGATTGGCAAACCTATAGTAAAATAATTTGCCACCCGCTACATATATTTTCGTTATATTTTTTCTTAATATAAATATATTTATTAAAATAACATAGGAAATTATAAAGAAAGAAATAGAACGTATCAATATTAATAAGTAATATCGACTTTTTTATTACTTATGAAAAATGGAAAATTTTTTATTACGAATGTTAAATTAATGATATATTATATGTAAGAACAAAATACCTCTTTTGTCCTCATAAATATAAAAATTCTCATTTACTTAACAAAAATTCATTTATTACTCTATTTTGATCCTTTTTTTTAAAAAAACGTTGAAAATGGTTAACAATTAATACTAAATTGTCACAAGAAAGAATATCAAAAAAAAATAAAATAAAAACTAAATATTAAAAAATATTTTTTTTTTTAAAAAAAAAATTAAATTAACTGAGTTGAATTATAAGTAATAATAACGACATTTTATGCAAGGCCGTAACGACTCTCTTTTTTTTGTACATCGTAATTCGTATTTTCGTCTGTTACTTAAAGGCCAATGAAAAATATTGTAATTGTGTATTATAGAAGGTGTCTGTAAATTTTTAATAAATTTATTACGAAATTTAAATCGAAAAAAAAAGCAGCAAATGACTAAATGCTTAATAAAAAAAAGAGCTGGTAGGATCAGCTAAATTTTTACCGTTACTGGTAATTAATAATTTGGAAATTTTGCTCGAATTATCTAAAATTTAAATAATTTAATTAAAAAAAAAAATTTTGATTCAGGCCAGCGCTAAAGTTTTGGCAAGTGTTAGTATTGAAATTTTTTTCTGTTTTTCTACTTATAATATCGTATAAAATTTCATCGCAAAGATACTTTTATTTCTTCGTAATTATTTTTAGGCGTAGTAACTGTCGATCAAATAATCAAATATCATGTAGAAAACATATTATTATTGACAGATTACGTTTAAACTTTAATTACTGTAAGAAAGTTATTCTTATAATTGTTCGTATTGTTTCATTCATGCACGAGGAAGATGTCAACTCTGCAAAAGATCGGTAAATAAGCATAGGCATAGAATTAAATTGACAGATAGGGGGAATAGGAAAATCAATTATTATGAGCTGCATGGTAAAATTAAGTAAGAAGCGGTAAAGTTTATTAATACCTTTTTTTTTTCAGTCCACGTTTTGCGTTTGAGATTTTTGGAACATGTTTAGAACGTTTGAGGAACGTTTGAGAATAGAATATAAAATTATCCGATTTTTTTTTTCTTTTAACGTTAATAATTCTTTGTTTTATTTTTATTGAAATTTTTTTTTTTTTTTTTTATCTCTATATTTTTTTTGTTTCAGGGTTGTTCTAAAATATTTTGGGGTTAGAGGAGATTTTGTCCGTGGCCCGAGAAACATACCCTCCTTTAATTACATCATTTCACGCCAGCATTTTTTTATTGTTTTTGTTTTTTGTTTTTTGTTTTCTTTTTTGTAAGAATAGTATCTTAACGTAATTACAAAGAATCATGAGGAATTTTTTTTTTCCTTTCATATTATTCTTTGTGAACGACATTTGATAGATTAAACTTTGGGGAAAATTTTTTTATTGTCATTTCTAAATCCTTTTTCATTAACGTTCCTTTTTAAAAAATCATTTCTTTACTTAGGAAATCTTAATGTGGCATTGTAATATAACACAAAAATCTATTTATACCATTAATGATTGACCGAATATCATGCCTTAATTACCTTGTTGAATGTGTTAAATGTAAAAATAAAAATACAGTTAAGTTTAATATTGATGTTACTTAATACGGTAATATGCCCGAATATTTCATTTTTTTTAGAAAAAAAAAAGATTGATTAAAAAAAAATAATTTATATATTTGGGGGATATTATAGAAGAAAAAGATAAAATAGAAAAAGAGGTCGGTCGGAATTAACTCGGAGATTGAAATTAGGCGGAGGAACATTTCCTAATTTATAATTTTAATAGAAAAAAGATTTTTTTTTTATGTTATACGATCTTTTTTTTTTTACAAAGAAAATTAGATTTTTTATTTTTTCGCGTAGCGTGAAAATTTTTTATTTCGATTTTTTTCTTTTTTTGTATACATTAAAAAAAAAAAAAATAATAATAAAAACCCTTTATTTACTAAATAACCTAATATATTATTAATTTGTTTGTATCTCCGGTTTATCAAAGCAAAAAATCTCCTCAAGATATCAGGTTTTGATTATTAATTTGTGTAATCAGATGCTTGAATGAGATTTCCTTATTCATGTTTCGTGTTATAACGTTTTGAAACTTGATGTGATTCACAAAATATATTTGTATAAACAAGGGATAATAATAATAATAATATAATATATAATAATCTTTAAAAAAAAAAAATATAAAATAAAATAAAGTAAAATAATAATAATAATGATGATGTCCACTGTATACTAAATTGAATACTTTATTTATGAATTTTAACTTTAAACAATATATGTTTTCAATTACAGATAAACATTAAAGATTGTTAGATGAAAAATTTATTATATAAAGGATCCAATTTTTTCTTCGACTTTTTTTCTCTCATCAATTCCTTCAATATTAACAAAATAGTTAATAAAAAAAAATAACAAAATAACCAAAAATTATTTCATTCAATTATAAATCGTTCACTCGTGACTTTACTATAGCCTCGCCTTTCGCAAATCTCGTAAATCTTTTTCGTAAATCTTTTCGCAAATCTTACTTTAACAAGACTTTTACCCTCGTAAATACAAACCTCTCACATACAAATCTCGCAAATTCAAATCTCGCAAATACAAACCTCTCATATATAAATCTCGCAAATACAACCCAACCCTCGCAAATACAAACATATCAATTACAAATCTCGTAAATTCAAACCTCACAAACACAAACTTCGTAAATTCAACCCTCGCAAATACTCGCAAATACTCGCAAATACTCACAAATACAAACCTCAAAAATACAAACCTTTTGTTACTTATCTCAAAAACCCTCATAAACCGTTACATACTTCATTATAAACATTACGAAAATGACTACCCATAACTTTTCAATTGAAGATCTTGCTATGTCATTGATTGTTAGATTGGATAGGAATAACATTTTCCCACCAATGCTTAACAATCCCGAATCCTTTCTTTCACCCACAGACAATTTAACAAATTTGTCATTCCGTCGACCAAAAAGAAGTCCAAACGCGTTTCTTGTCTGCAGAAGAAATGTACATGAAGAGGCTACTCGAAAAGGCACTTTTAATATGCGCGTTATAAGTAAAGTCACGGGCATATTATGGAAGAACGCCTCTGCAGAAGAAAAGGATGTATATAAAAAATTAGCAGATCGGGTTTATGAGATTCATTATAAAAGAACGTCATCAATATATAAAAAAATGACAGTATCATCATTAAAGGAGAGAGCATCTTATAAACCCTATTATTCATTTCCGATACAATTATCAACAGCAACGTCTGCCCCTCCACCCACATCTCCCCAGATAGAAACATCAATAGGACCGATAGTACCTATAGGACCCCTAATACCCGTGGGAACTGTAGGATCAGGATCCACGTCAGTATCAACTAGCTTACCACCTCCATCACTTCCTCTTCCTCTCACCTCTACATTATATCCATCAACTCCATATAATAATACTTTTAATTTCGAAATACCAAATAACGGGTATATTTCATTAAATAATTTGAACCATCAGCCCAATAATATAGATTATAATTCGTATACAGAAATTAATGGTCAAATTATTCCAAATAATTACCATCATCAACAACAACAACAGCAAACCGAACAGAATCAATTGTTATATCTTTATAATAACATTTTTTCATTTAATAATCAATAAAAAAATATATATATATATTTTTTCTTTTTTTATTCTTTTTTTCGTTTTTATTTTTTATCAATTTATATTTTATCGTTTTTTTTTTAAAAAAAAA